AACTGACCTATGACCCGACAGATGTTTCCCTTTGGTCCAAAGCAAGGCTTTCTATTTGGCATTTCTTCCAGTCTTCAGGATTTTTTTTGCCCCTTGACATTATTTCAGATTTTTTCATGTGCTATCATGGGGAATCTGCAGTAAATTCAACAGAATTTTCTTCTATGACAGCAAGTTTCTTGTTGGTGGAGCTAATACTGTTAGACGTCTGCCCTGCACATCAACCAGAAGACAAGCAGGAATACTGGAGGACTGCATTCCTCAAAGCTGTCTGGGTATGCAGCTGCACAGCAGCCTAACAGTTGAGCGCAAGAGATAAAGAATCTGCACGCAAAAAACACGTTTGACCAGGCATGAATCTTAAAGGCAATGTAACAAACAAGCTGCACTCAATTAAATCGGTGGGAGGATTGTCAGAAGTCCAAAGTTTTTATTTGCACGAACACCACTACTGGAGGGGATACTGGACATAGAGTTGCTATTTGACATCAGATTTGTCAGAACCATCAAAACTTATGTAGTTTATACACTGAACAATGAGGTCTGACCATTTTTTGATTTTATAGACCATATCCTTGAGTTGGAATGGACCACATTTTTTGGCTCGACATATTAAAACTTACTGACATTTGGAGCCAAATTATCACTGAGTTGGAAGGGTTCCACAGCTTAACCACAAGAGCAAGGGAACACCAATTCCACATTCCCATCCCAGAATCCAGTATTCACTAATTATTTATGGTCCAGGTGATGTATCAACCGTCAATCCAGTTAACTTTTCAAGAACTACCTCTTTACTCATTAATTTCTTAAATTTCCTCAGTTTCACAAGACCCTTGTTCGCTGAGATATCTGGGAGATGTTCTTTATCTTCTTTCATCAAGGATGAAGCAAACTAATTGTTTAGTTTCTCCACCATTTCTCTGTCCTCCACTATAAATTCTCCTGTCCCCATATTTGACCTAGCTAATCTTTTCCTTTTCACATATCTAAAGAAGCTCTTGCAGTCTGCCTTTATGTTCCTCATTAGTTTAGACTCTTTTTTTTCACTTTATGACTCAGTTTCTTAGTCTTCCTTTGATGATCTTTAAGCTGCCCCCAGTTCTCAGGCTTATCATTTTTTCTGGTGTCCTTATAAACCAAGTCCTCAGGTCTAATGCAATCTTTAATTTACTCCATTACCCATGTTGACTTGTCTTTGCCTTGGGTGTTTTAGAGCAATGTATATCCGTTGTGGGCCGTGCAGCATTTCTTTACATACTAGTTGTTGCCTGACCACTGTCAAATTTCTTTGTGTATTTTCCTCACCCACCGTAGTCAAGTTAGAATCCCTACAAAGTGTGGAAGCAGGCCATTCAGCCCATCGACTCCACACCGACAATCTGAAGAGCATCCCATCCAGACCCAAACCCCATCCTATCCCTTTTAACCTGCATTTCCCATGGCTAATCCACATAGTCTGCACGTCCCTGGACACTATAGGAAATTTAGCATAACCAATCCAACTAACTTGGACATCTTTGCACTGTGGGAGGATACTGGAGCACCCAGAGGAAACCCACGCAGTCACGGGGGAGAATGTGCAAACTCTACATAGACAGTCGCCTGAGGGTTGAATTGAACCTGGGTCTGTGGCGCTGTAAGGCAGCAGTGCTAACCACTGAGCCACCGTGCCACCCTCATTCCATCATAATTTCCTTTATTAAGATCCAGGATAGCGTTTTCAGAATGAGCCACATCACATTTCAGCTTAATGCAAAGTTCTATCACATTCTGGTCACTATTTCCCAAAGGTCCCTTTCCAACAAGGTTGTTAATTATGCCTTACCTTATACACAACAGTAAATCCAAAGTAACTTAATCCCCAGTTGCCTCCTTAACATACAACTCCAAGCAACCCATCTTGTACATGCTCTCAGAAGTCATCCTCCACAGCATTAATGATGATTGCTTTTTACACGTAAATTGAAGTTACCCAATGATACTGTAATACTCAGGTTATATGGATCTCGAGTTTCCTTATCCAAATTATGACCAACATTATGACTGATGATAATTATAAACACTCCCACTAATGTTTGCTGCTTTTTGCTGTCTCTTAGCTCTGCCCAAACTAATTCTACATTAAGATCCTTCAATCTAATTTTTTTTATGTATGAAGTGCCTTTGTTCTGAATTAAAAGTGCTACCCTGATTAATTTTCCTTTTTTTCCTGTCTGTCCTAAACGCCAGATATCCTTGGATACTGGGTTCCCAATATTGGTCACCCTGCAGTCACGTCTCCAAACAGCAATGAAATCATATTGATTTACTTCAATACGTGCGTTCAAATCATCAAGCTTTTTGTGAATGCGACATGCATTCATATTGAGTGCCTTTAATTCCGCTTTTTTTAACATTATTCTGTTTTGGAATCCTATTTAATGCTTGCCTGTGTTTAATTTGTCTTCTGTTTTTGCTTTCTACTTTTCTAATTCCTTTTAGTAGTTTAGCTTATCTCAATCTGAGCACCCTCTCAAGTTCCCAATGCCATCCCAATCTAGTTTAAACACCACCCCACAGCATTAGCAAATCTCCCTGCAGTTAGTTAGCCTTTGGCCTACTAAGATGCACCCTTCCATTTTGAGCAGTTCCCACCTGAATAGAACCAGACCCAGTGGGTGAGAAATCTGATGCTCTCTCCCTTTAGACCTGTTGTCCAGCCACATGTTCAATTATTTTATTTCGTGAGGATGTGGGACTGGAAGTAATCCTGAAACTACTGCTTTTGCAGTTCTACTTTTCAATCTCCTGTGGAGGATGTTTTCAGGACCTCCTCCAGCTTCTTGCACAAGTGACTGGTACCGAGGTGAACTATGATCTCTGGCTGTTCAGACTCACCCAGAAAAACATCCTGCAACCATTCCCTCCCAATCTGACCCATGTCAGAAAGACAACAGACCATTCTGGAGTCAAATCTACGGCCACAGAAATGTCTGTCTGTTCCCCTGACTAATGAATCCTCATTTCCTACAATGAATTCTGTGTTAGAAACAATCATGGCAAATTAAGACATCTTGACCGAACTCACGAGTGTAAGCAATGTTGTGATGGGGGTGTTAAAGTACTTCCCTTTATCACTGAACACCAATGATCAGGATGTTCTGGAATTGGCTGGATGGCAAACATTCACTGGAAAAATAATACACCGAAAAGTGTTAATTTGGCAGACGTGTTATTGAGGGGAGACTTGCAGTTATGCGGTCACTCCTCAATTGTCAATCAGCAATACAGATAAAAAGTAGAACCACGTGAACATCAAAAAAAATGGAACCTCAATATTGCAGCCAACATTTTTGCCATATTATGTAGAAGTCCTTGAAGCGAGAAAAGGAAAAAAAAGTGTGACGCTAAAACATGCCAAGCTTGTGATTGGCAGCAAAACTGTATTGATGTGTGAGGCATGTTGGGTGGATTCCTTTGGCATCAGCTGTTCAGCATTCAGAGATTACATCAGAGAGACCACTGAGAAGCTCGTTTTTTTAGAAAGGGATTGTCGTTCAGCTTCTCACGTCAGTAGCTGCAGCACAATATATGTTAAGCGCAGACCTCGTAGCAACACTCCTACCAGAGTTCCCACAGGGAGGAACCAGCTTTTTTTTCAAAAGGGCAGAGCCTCTGTTTCGTATTCACGGGCCCTTTAAACACGCCTTCTTTTTTGAGGCTTTTAAAGATTCACAATCTAATCAAACATGAACACTCAGGATGTGAACTGCAGATTGAGGAAAAATTTACTTGCGCTGTCAAAGATGATAAGACCACGTAGCACTGGTTAAGCACGACAAGAATTTAATAGAATTGGTTTTGTTTTTACTCGCTTTTATATTCCTTTCACAGACAGGCCTAATCGTACTAAGAAGCACTTTTTGTTTGGACTATGTACGTGCGCTGTGTGACAGGGATAATGGCCCCTCCAGCTGTTAGGATGGGGGTGGGGGAGGTATATGTAGACTGAATAACTAACCATATCACTGCTTCCTGCTTTATGCTCTCAGTTGTGGTATCACATTTACACAGCACTCTACATGGTTCAGTTTCCTTTCAGTCCTTCGTTTTGTAATTTTTTTTGTGGACTTGTAATATGTAAGTACGCTTTACTTGCCTTTTATTACGATAGTATCTTTGTTTTGACTTTCGGTGTTGGAAATAGAAAATATGTCCTAAAATCTACTGTTTTACTGATGCTTTCACTGAAACCACAGAAGATTTAAATGCTTGCCATGTTGAAAGCTGTATGGTTCTACCTGTCATGTCTTGAATTTACTGGTAATCATTAGAAGCAGTACGTTAATATTTCAGCAGATGGCTTGAAATTCAGTTAAACTATTTAATCTTGAGCTTCAAGTTTTCTGAGTGCTGCCTTAATTTGTTTAACGTTTTTTTTTGTAACACATTATGACTAGAGAGGTTTTAGAAATAAAAAATGTTTTTGGAACTTGAACAAATAGACTGGGCAAAGTTCTATTTGTTTGTGTCATCTTACCAAGATTATGTTTTAAAATATCAGTTGGCTGCACCCGACTGGGTATGGTTGGTGTCATAAAACTCTCCTAAACTGTATCAATATCTGAAATATTAATTCTTGATCCAAGGTGCAGACAATTTTCTTGATTTTACTGAAGTGTGACATAGCTCTAAATTCAGATTATTATCAGGTTTGCTAATCATAACAATGGTTTATTAGAAGTATACAAGGCTAAGGGCATTATTAACTTCTTTATATGCTGTTGAAATAATAGGTGTGTTATTGAGATCTAATTTATTACTGTATAACAATATCTACCAAGATGTTTGCTATTTTGTTAATAAGGTAACAGTCTCAAATGAAGAGGGCAGTGCTGGGGAAGTTATTTGTTTATGCCATGTCTTAAGCCATTTGATGAAACAAAGGAGTTGGAGAAAGAGATGGTCATCTGTCAAACACATTCAAGCACTGTAGATTCAAGAACTAAGAATCTTACCCTGATTAGTCTGGGATACAGCTGAACAATAATAGGTTATGTCCAAGTATACTGATGTTTTCATGAGATACTCCTGCATGAAGCTGCTGTAGATACAATCAGAAATCTGACCTGTTTCCATTGTCAAAGGCACAGGAGTGGCTTTCTGTGTCTGCTAATCGTTCGATGCCGTGGAAGACAGTAAGAATCTACCTAGGCTTGTGCTTAGTCAGATGGAAAAACAAGTGGCGGTGCAGGCAAAAATGGGACAGGCCAACAGGGACCTCTGCTGTGTCCGCAGTACCAGCCGCAATGAATCCTTTGTCTGGGAAGTAGCAGCGGGGTCATTCATCTGTTCCCAGGGCTGTTGACAGAGACACAATATGGAGATTAGGTAGGAGAATGCCACCACTGATGCTTTTATGAGAGAGATCCATTCAAAAATCATGGGATTTTGTCCTCAGGAAAAACATTAATGACCGATTTAAGCCAAAATTACCATATTGGTCATAGCAGTCAATGCTTGAAGTTTTGGATTTCTTTTTCAGTTGGTTTTAGGATTCAGCATTACTCCTCTTTTAAGAAAGTGGAATAATGTAATTAATGCCAGTCAGTTAATCAAGTGAAAGAAACAAGTACAGAAAAATAAAACAAATTTGTGAACAAATGGCCACTATTGCCACGACCGTTGTGTGGAGTTGGGGTAGAGGGGTTAAATTACTCTAGAAAACCGTAAAAGAAAAATAAATTTTCAGAGCAGTCTTGATACTTGGTAAACGCTGGGCAATCCACCTTCTTGCAAAGGACCTAAAAGTGGCTTCCAGCCCTTTAATATTAGGCCCCTTTAGGTTACTAGTTTCAGAAAACTATTGGGATGCCTCATTTCAGTCACCTTGAGGTCTAGCAACCTTGAGGTATGGGAGATAGCAACCTAATATTGGGCGATGATTGATTAACTGAAAAATTTGGCAAAATGTGATGTAACTTACACCCCTGTGTTTTGTTCAGATTGTCAACTTAGTATTTCATCGTGCTGCTGTTGATAGGTTCGCACAGACTGAGAGAAGACCATGTTCAGTTTGTGGAGTTATGTTAATACAGTTTTGTCTTGTTGAACTCGGGGCGCACCTTTTTGTTAAGCTTCAGCATGTTGTGTTGCACTCGGAACACGCTAAACAGTATAGATGGAGAACAGATACAGCAGGTCCAAACTGGCCATTATCGATAGAGTTGCATTCAACCGTGCTCTTGTGGCTTGGCATTTTCTCTACTCTACCGTTATCATCAGGTCGAGGGAGCAACACTTCATCAGTGAAGACTGTAGGTGTGCATGCCAGGAGCAGCCAGGCATGGCTAAACGTGACATATCAGCCTTATGAAACTCCAACATAGGACTATTGACGTGAAAGTGGAAGCAGAATGTAACAACTTGTATTTTAGAACTAGCCTTGTCTGATCAATCCATTTCAGAACAGGTATAATATTGACATCAATTTGATAATGGGAAAATTGTTCAAGTCTGTCCTGTTGAGATATTTCTAACCAACCTAATAATACAAAGGTGTGTATTATTACACACCTTTGAAGCAGATGGAACTTGCACCTTGGCATTCTGGTCTCGAGATAGGGACACTGCCATTGTGGAATAAGAGCCCTAAATCTGTTCTGTCCACAGAAAGTTCCAATCCAGCCAACTGCCATCCCCTAAGTCAACTGTCCATTATCAGTAAAGTGGTGAAAGGTATCACTGACAATACTTATCAAGTAATACTTGCACAGGAAAAAAAAGCTGAGCAATGAGCATGTTGAAGTTCCACTAGGCCAGTTGGCTCAGACAGCATTACAACATGGGTATAACCGTAGACAAAGAGTTGAAGTCTCTCAAATGAGAGTAAACGTCCTTTAGAATATTGAAGATGATTAAAGGGGGAGTACTTTCCATTGAATAATATATTATCATCTGCTTTAGAGGCCAAGTCATCTTAGTCCCAGACAACACTGCAGGAGTTCCTCAGAGTATTTACTTTCCAGTCACCAATTCAGACTTTTTTATCGCACAACTCTGGAGCAAGTGGGACTTGAACATGAATGTCCTAGTAAAGAGGTAAGGATACTACCATCATTTCATAAGAACCCTTGTGTTCTGAATCCACCTGTTTAGAGATGCTATGACACACCTCCAGAGCAGGTGGGACTTCAACCTGCATCTCTGAGTTTAGAGTTAGGAACATTACTACTGCACCAAGACACTCCTTGTTCTTCAAGGTAGTATCTCAGGTCCACTGTCTTCAGCTGTTTTCACAATCGCCTGCCTTCTATGGTGTCCAAATTGTCAAAAGTGACAATTGGATAACATTGAATACTATTCGCAACTCTTAAGACACGGAAGCAATTTTCGGACGACCTAGACAACTTTAAGTCTTCAGCTGATGAGTCGGAATTAACATTTGTGCCATTACAAATGTGAGGCAGTGACATCAGCAACAAGAAGAGAATCTGATCATCTCCCCATGACACTCAGTGGCATTAACATCACTCAATCTCCCACAGTCAATTTTCTGGAGAGATATCATTGACCAGAAACTGAATTGCACGTACTATGGCTACAAGGGCAAGTCCCAAAATGGGGCTGATTTTAGACAAGGTCTGCAAATAATTTGTGACAAGGAGTTCTGTAATCATAGCAACTTAATGGTGCACATCAAATGTAAACGCTTCCAGTGCACTTGAAATGGGTGCAATTATTAAACTTAAAATGGGTATCATGGAATCATACACTGCAAAAGAGGCCCTTCAGCCCATCAAGTCTGTACCAGCAAACAAATGACACATTAAATTTTCCTTTCGTTTATCTTCTATCATGGTCAAGATTGTGAACCAATGCATTTGTACAAAATCAGAAAAGTTATCCCAGACCTTCAGCACGTTCATGTTTAATGCAGTTAGGACGCAGAATGCCATAAACAGTTACATTAGAATGTGACTTATTCCTATCTGTTCATGATATGCCTGAATGATGTTTCAAATCCTTGAACTTCAAATTTCTGTAATTTATGAAAAACATCATCATTTTAATGATTACCATTTGGGGCACATGGTAATCATATTTGTTTATTTAGACTTTCAGTACATCTGATTGAGATTGGGGAAAGCACTTGACATCAGGAGAATTCAAATTCTAATTCTTACTTTCAAATCTTTCCATGTTTTTGCCCTTCCCTATTTGTACAATCTTCACCAGCTGCACTATACTGCAAGATCTCTGACCTTTAAATTCCAGCCTCTCGAGCAGCTTTGATTTTTGACTGTTCCAGGGCCAGGCCTGATGGCTGTGCTTTCAGTGACCAAGGTTCTGTGCTCTCGTATTTTCCCCCCCGCCCCTTAAATCTCTGTACCTTTTAGACCTTACTTTCAACCGTTAAGAAATTGCTTAGAACTGACCTGTTTGACCAAGCTTTTGGTCAGCTCTCCTAATATCTCCTCCTGTAGCTCATGCTTGGTTTCATACTTGGTTTTATAATGCTCCTGTGATGTTTAGCACCTTGGGACATTGTATTGCATAAACTCCCCTTTATAAACAAATTGCTATTCTGTACACAAGGACTTTGAATCATTAGAACACTTTTTTTTCTGAAGGGAACAGCCACAGTCTCTAAACTAATCTGTGCTACATTTCTGAAATTCATATTTTTGCCTCACTTTGCAACATTTTATCAAAACCAATCACAAATTGAACATTTGTTTCTTTCCAATTTTCAACAATTTAATTATATTCAGTTTTTCCTTGCTGGCCAATTCAACTAAAAAGTGTTGAGAAGGTCAACTGCTTGATACTTATAACCATGAAAACAAGTATGGCACCCTTAAGTTTAGTACTTGTGATTAGAGGATGCGATAAATACTTAGACCAGAACATGATTTATTTCTATGTTCTCTTGCAGTCTGCACTGCTCTGATTTTCTATGTTTAGCCGAGTTGTCGCCATCACTGAACCCACATGTACTATTCAAAGAAACATGTCTTCAGGTCACAGGTGCACAACTATCTGAAAGGCAGCTCTTCGGAGTTGTTGGAAAGAGAGCCTGGAGTTAGGTGGGAAGAAATTAATTGACAGGGCTGCCTTGACCTGGAAGTTGAATGATCAAGACTGGGAGCTTAGCTCACTCATGCTTTTATGATGTCAGCTGAAGCATCTTTTGTTGAGTTCACAAAATGAACCTAGTAGTCTCTTCATTTTCAGAATTTGTTCAGAAAAATGCTGAACTGTTGATGTATTTTTTCTGTTGGAGTATTGTTTTGAGTTTTCAATGATCTTTTTAATCCTAATGAATTGTTCTGGTGTGGAAGATGATGAATCTTCCAAGTTAACTGTTGGGGTCACTCGAAGCAGAAATAATAACTTGAATCAAAAGGTTTATTGGGTGTTATTGTGACAGATATCTCTTCAACATATCAAAGTGCATTTGTGATCTTTAAACAGGGAGCATCGGCAGGGACAAAGGGAAAGTAAAACTGCACAGTTGCACCTCTGAACAGTGCTTGTGAACTGCGCTATCTGGAAATTAACTGTTAGTGGCATCATTTTCTCCTAGTCTGTAGCCATGCTTAGGGATGTTCTGCCTGCTTAGCTGCCTTGCTTTGCCAGCCACACGTGACCTTGGACCTGTCTCATGCTCTGCAACATACATGTGATGAATTGATCTTGCTTCACCTGGCAATTTGCACCCTGGCATCATATCTGATAGAACTACGCAGTGCATAATGTGCTCGGGCATCTAGGGCAAGCCCACTGCACGCACATCCCCCTCAGCCAGAATCACTAGAATGACTGACAGCCAACAGACATTGTGTTTGTCAACTCAGATTTGCAATTCTTGTAAAAATGTTTCAATCACAATAGATTTCAAATACACCTCTGGGCAGAAAGGTGAGGGGGATAAAAGAAAATTAAGAGGGGACTCCCTGATGTACATGTTGCAAGTTTGCCAAATATGGAAATGTCTCATTCCTGCCAGTCAGAGGATGGAAACTCCACAATTTATATCAGATCTCTTGACTCCCAAAGCCTATCCACCATCTAGAAGGAATGAGTCAGGAATGTGATGAAAGACTGATCCAAGAAAGTGAACAATGTTGCTTGAACAACGCTGAAGACACTCAACACGAGTGAGGATGAAGCAGCATGCTTGATTGGAACTCCATTCGACACGTTAAATATTCATTCTCTGCACTGCCAATGCTAAGTGGCAAGAGTGCGTATTATCTACAAGATATCCTGCAACAACTCACCAAGGCTCCCTCAAGGGCAACTTCCAAACCTGTAT